CAAGGTAGATACCCAAAGAAAAACAGCAAGACATACTACAATCACATTCTCCAAAAGTAAAGAGAAATAAAGACTACAGAAAGCTGCTCGAGAAAGTCAAAGAGCTATCTACAAAAAAGAAATAATTTCCCAGCAGAAACCATGTAAGCAAAAAAGCAATGGGAAAGAGTAGACAAAATTCTGTAAGAAAACAACTGCCAACTGAGAATCATGTACCCAGCAAAGTGGTCTATCAAATATGATGGTGAAAGAGAGTGGCTGAAAAGCAGAAACTAAGGGGATTCACAAAAGACTAACTTTGCAAGAAATACTAAAGAAGTCTCTCACACAGACAGCAAAGTCAATGGAACAAAGTAACTAGTAAACTACAAATAATGCCTATAGATAATTAAATCTGAATGGATTAAATGCACCAAGTAAGGAAAAAAGAGCAGCAGAATAGATAAGAACACAAAATCCACCAATGTGTTATTTACACCAATCAGTTATCATGAGTCTAAACCAACAGTAGAACACACTTATTCAACAATTGAAATGTACATTTTGAATAGGTATGGAAAAAGAATACAACCCGGATGCACAGCCTTCTTAATTTTAAATCATGCCGTATTCCCCTACTCTGTTCCTGCAACAGCCTCCTGGTCTAGATACAGGTTTCATATGAGCACAATTAAGTACTCTGGGATTCCCACTCTTCTCATAAATTAGCCATAAATTGTTATGATGTACATTGTCAAATGCCTTTTCTTAGTCAGTAAAACATAAATAGGCATTCTTCTGATATTCTTTACTTTTAGCCAGGATCCATCTGACATCAGCAATGATATTCCAGGTGCCACAGACTCTTCTCTATCCTACTTAAACTAGGCCTGGGTTTGACTATGAGTGAGATCATCAGTTACTAATGTGCAAGTTTAAATTTAGGCCAAAGATAATTAAAATAAGTCCACGAGAGCCAAAATATGCTCTTGAATCTATCCCATCTGAATTTCAAAATCATCTTAAGAATAGGTTTGGAGCACTGAGTACAAACAATCAAAGACCAGATGAGCTGTGCGATGATATCAAGGATATCATCTGGGAAGAAAGCAAAAGGTCATTACAAAAAAACAAAAACAAAATAAAATGGATGTAAGAAACTCTAAAAATTGCATTGGGGCATCAAGAAGCCAAAATAAGGGGAAACATGCCAAAGTAAAAGAGCTGAGCAGTTGCCAAGAGGTAGAGAGACAGTGCCCTGAGCACTGAATGCATTCTTCACACAGACGCTATCTTAAAAACCTCTCATCTTTCATATCATTCTCATACACATCTCTGTGGGAAAGTCGCTTTATCACTCTCATGTAACCTCAGTATTTGAAAAGGACTCACTTGTCAAAGTTGTTCCAACTCATTGTGGCCTTTCATCAGGCTCCTGCAGCTGTGAACTGCAATGTGAAGAGCCTGTCCATCTTATTCCTACGTAGCAGCTAGAAGAGTGTAACCATCAAATTGGAAGCCTTTGAGTTAGTAATACAACTCCAAACAGACTATGCCAGCAAAGCTACTTCGGAAAACAAACAACAGGGCTCTTACAAGCAGGGCCTTTCTCATTACCAAACTACTCCTAAGACCCCTAAACACAACTGTGGATCAAAGAAACACCTCACCCTCAAAGACCACCTTCTACCAGTAACAAGAAGGTGCATCTTCTGAAATTTGCACCTTTTTACACCTGTTCCCTTAACCAAAAAAAAAAAAAAAAAATCTGTATACACAAAGACCTTCTGATATCACATATCATAGACAACTTTCACAATCAATCAGTATGGGCAACTAGTTTTAGCAATTCCTGGAAAGACAAAAAGTTTAGTAGTATATTGCATGTATGGCCAGGCTGGAACAGCTAAGGGTTTCTCATAGACCTGCTTCAACTGCAAGGCCTCCATCTCATGCCACACTTTACTGTTCTCTTTCCCTTTACACAATCACCAACTCGTCTAGGTTCTTCCTCTCCTGTGCTGTTCTTCAACCTTTTAAAGCATGATGTCCTTCTCTAAAGACTGGTCTCTCCTGGTCATATGCCCAAAGTTTGTGAGATGGAGCTTTAAAACCCATACCTCCAAGCAGTAGCCTTGTTTTACCCTTTCCAAAATAGACTTGTTTCAATCCATGGCATGATTAATACTCTTCTCCAGCACTACAACACAAATGCATCACTTCCTCTGTCATCCTTAGTCACTGTCCGGTTCTCTGATGCATGGCAAGTAATTGTGAAGACCATGGCTTGGAACCAGGGACACCTTAATCTCTAGACTGATATCATTGCTCTTTAGCACTTTGGAGAGGTCCCTGATAGGAGATTTTCCTAATGCAATTCCTCTTTTGATTTACCAATTCCTGGAGCCAAGAGTGATGACTATGGAGCTGAGCAAACTGAAACTGTTACCGCAATCTCTTCTCCAACTATCATGGTGCTGTCAACTGACCTAGTGGTGAGAATCTTTGTTTTCTTGATGTTGAACTTCAATGCACATTGAAAACTTGAAATCCTTATTTAAAGTCCCTGACTTTCTGCTGCAAGCACTTCAGGTGTTCCTCAGTTTCAGCAAGCAAGGCTGTGTTGTCTGCATATCACAAGTTGTTGATGAGTTTTCCTCCAATCCTGATGCCACATTCCTCATTAAAGCCCAGTTTCCTGACTGATCATTCCACAGAGAGACTGAAAAGGTATGGAGACAGGATGCATGCTTGATGCACTCCTTTCCTGATTTTGAACCATACAGTGTTTGCTTGCTCTGTTCTTCCTAGTCTGAGTATAGATTTCCCATGAGTACAATCAAGTGTTCTGTGATTCCCAGTCTCTTTGAGGTTAGCCATAATTTGTAATTCACACAGATCTATACTTGAGATCTACATTTAAGCAAAAAAAAAAAAAAGGCCAAGTTGTACATTTATGTAACTAAAAACAAAAACAGGTAACATTATTTTGTATGTATATACATGTGTGTATGTATAAACATTCAAGGAGACCTGGTGATGCAGTGGGTAAAGCAGCTAGTGTGTGACAGTTCTAGTTGCACAGTGCATTTCTTGGATTGCTAACCAAAAGGAAACACAATGGGGTCAGGATCAATTCAACAGCATTAGAGTTTTGGTTTAAATGTCCATTGGAAAATTTTTTATTTCAATTCCTCATGTCAGAAACTCAAAACTATTTACTGATCTCATCCTACTTTCTTCCAATACTGGCCATCTCACAATTTTTTTAAAAAAATTGTAGTGTTAAGACTGCAAACACAGAAACAGCAAAATAATATGAGGTATTAGTTCTGGATCTTAAGTACATCTGACCCCTTACCTACTGTATCCCAGATAGTCTTCACTCTCTTATAGACATTTTCCCAACCCAAAGATTTCTCTGGGAATTTCTATCCAAAGGGTTCCTTTGGGCCCCAAATCTTGTGCCTTAGAAAAGCCTTCACAGGGAGCTCAGGTGGCCTTTAAGGTAAGGAGTTACACTGCCAATCCACAGGCATGTGGTTTTATTTAATCAGTTGCTCCTCAGTAGAAAGAAGGGCAATCTCCTCTAGTCCTGTAAAAACCTGACGGAGGCTAAGTTATCATTTGGTTCCTACTCAACTGTGCATAACAACAACAGACACCTTAATAGGCCGTTTACTATCTTAGACTCTAAGGAGCAACTCAGTTGAACATCTTCCAAAACAGATCTATTTGTTCTTTTAGCTGTCAAATCAGTTCAAAGTCATCAGTCTTTTTCAGTGTTCCTTATCCAGTGTCTAACTTCTATAAGCATATGAAGCAATTGACAAAATGCAACCAGCGTGCTGTTTAGAGGCAATGAGTGTGAAAGTGCACCCTGTATCAAATACTCATGCATCTTGTCAGAAGTCAGTCCTTGGAAAAAGCCATCACAGTGGGAAATGTCAGAGAGAGGAAGACCTTCAACAAGACACAGTAACTGTGACAAGGACTCACAGCTTATGAGAGATGGTGAGGAGGATGCAGGAGAGAGCAAGGTTCAGATTTATTGTTGAAAGGTCGCTCTGAGTGTTATGACAGGTCTTTACGTTGATGGCACCTGAAAACAATGAGGTGAAAAACTGCCTAACAACTCCCAATCTCCAACTCTAGTCTGCAAAATCACACTGTTAATTTGTGAAAGCAAAGTCTACTCAACCAAGGAGTATATACTGTTTTCTTGATTTCAAGCCCAATTGCTGGGATGGATGGATGTTGAACAGACACCATGTTATAGTCTTCAATGTCTCAAAGAGAGGATCAAGTCTTTGATTTCTAATTCTAGCTGTCTTTCTCACCAGACTCTTCAAATCCACCCATTTCAGTTAAGTGAGGTTACAAAGCCTGATACAAATCATCCTAGCATCCTGGTGAGGGTGTGTCAACCTCTCCTCCAGGTAGCCTACAGGGGTCAAGACGAGCTACACTTCTGACTTCCAACCCACTCCTTACCACTGCCACCTGCAACCACCCCTGAATGGGCGGTCGGGGATGCCATCTGCCAGTTGCAAACCCTGCACAGGTGGGGCGCTGTTTCGTCCAGCGAGGTCCAGGAAGGCAGCCTCAGACGCCTTTCCCTCGGCTCTGCAGGCCCAGCCTTGGAAGCCTTGGAAGTGACACTAGAATCAATGTTACCTGAGACTGCAAGCCTCACATCTATTTATTCCTTCCTTAATTCTCCCACAACTCCGCAAAATTCCTAATGGTGGAAAAAGAATACCTCTATGCAGACCCAGGATGGGATAAAGGCGCCTGTCTCCAATCCTGGAAAGGAACAAGCCACGGAAACCCGCAGCTCGAGAGGATGGAGGGCGCGAGGAGGTGAGGAGGAAGAGGGAAAGCAAGAAAAGCCAGAGATGGAGGAGGAGTGAAGAAGGAAGAGCCCGAAGGGAACAGTCAGGAGACCCCTCCCGCCGCTGCCCCTCTCCGCCCGCCCCGCCCACAGGGCTGGGAGCCCAGTCTGCACCGCGGGCTCTCACCTTGCGCTTTCGGGCCTCGGCTGTGCCGCTCCATACGAAGCACTGATAGATGGCACGCAGGTTCTGCTTCCAGTTGTCCACCTTGAAGCTATTCAAGTGCGAGCAGCCGGGCGGCGCGACCGCCAGCTCGGCATCCATAGCTTCGCCCTCTGCCTCTGCCCGGACTGCTGTGGGAGGCAGGGCCCGGCCGCGCGCAGGCGGCGGCGATGAGGACGTGGACGACGCCAGGGCGGCGCAGGTCCGGCCAGCCAAGTATGGAGGGCAGCCACTCAGCCCCCTACTCTGTGCTTTGCGGAGCTCAAGCGGCGCCGCCGAGATTACCGCAACCCCGGCCGGCCGCACTGCGCAGCTGCCGCCCCGCTCCCAAGAGGGAGGGCCACGGAAGTGGTGCTACCGGCCCTTGCTCTGGACCAGCGTCATTGGCAACTGGGCAAGCTTGAGGCCCCGCCCACTGCTAACATTGGCTGTTACAGCGGTCCGTCTTTGATCTAGTACATCTGATAGGGCAAGGCTCCACCTATCCCGGGAAAGTGAGACAAGCTGTGGATTGGGTGACTGAAGATGTCCGTCAAGGTTCTGAACCGGTTTGCACCGGCTTGAACTCTGCTGCAAAGAGGTGGAGCATTGAGCCAAGGTCCCACTTTTGCGCGTTCTTTCCTCTATTGAGGTCTCCTCCTCCGGTCCTATCTTTCCAGGATTATATCCTTTGTCAGTAGAAAGCCCTAACGGGACTTTCTGCAGGGTCTTCATTTTGACCACTTCTCACAGGTCCCACAGCTCGGTAGCCTTGTTAGAACTGCCATTTGCAGGCACTGGTACATATACTGCCTCGGCCTCATCCACGCGGTCCGACAGGAAAGTGCCAGGAGCTGTTAAAAAAAGGGAGACAGAGAAAAGGAAACTGGGTCCAAGAAACCAACAGGTCTTTATGAAGTGGTCCGAGAGAGACACCTAGGTGTCTGCTTGCAGAGATGATTGGTGTGGCTCTTAGGCAGACAGACAAAGAGAAGTTATTTTTATATGGGCTGTTAGGGAGATTTAGAGGGGATAGTAGTCTTGTTCTGGAATATGAGGACAAAGGCCCTGTCAATGTGTCATTAGTCCCAGTACCTTATCAGGATCTGGTGTCTTGTTGCTTTATCAGGAGATAGACATTCCTTGAGGTTTCCTCAAGGAATGATCAGGCCCAAGGAAAACTGACATTTTTTTTCCTAGGAGCCATATATCTAAAATAGTAAACTACATTTTAAAAATTAGAGGGGAGCTCTGGTGGCCTAGTGGCAAGGAGCTGCAACTACAATCCCAGAGGTGCACAGTTCGAATCCACCAGATGCTCTGCCGGGGAAGGAGGGTCAGTCTCTTCCCGTACCAGTCAGATCTGATTTGACGGTACGTTCACACAAAAATAATAAAATTAAAAAATTAGAATAGCATTGCTGACAAAAGCCAATGAGTAGAAGTTAAATGTTTATCAACGGAAAAACTGATAAGTACATACACAATTGAGTCATAAAGACAAATGAAGTTCTAATACATGCAACCATATGGTTGAGGGGAATGTTAGGACGGCATACCTGCTCTCCCTCCCTTTCCCCAGAACAGCCAAATGATCAAAGCAGCAGCTGCAACTTTGTTTATTACTGTAAAACTATTTCACCTCCCTTTACCAGGAATAACTATGACCCTCGACCTGCTATCTTATCTTGTATCCCAATTTCTTAATAAAATGCCACTCTTAAGTAGCTGCTGGTTTCTACTTTAGAGTTGGCCCGGCAGTTTCTCCTCAAACTGTCTTTCTTGGCCTGATCTGGGTTCTGTCCTTCCTCAGTGACCTTTACAGGGAGCTCTGATGGCCCTCGAATGGAATACAACTCCTAGTGACCCTAGGAATAACAGATCTGAACGAACTCTCTTCTATCCTGTGTCATCCTTACAAACTCTTGACACGCTCAGTCACTGTGTCAATCCATCTCCTTGAGGGGCTTTCTCTATCCCTCCTCCTCTCCAAGCATGATGTCCCTTTCCAATGAATAACCTTATCTAGCAACATGTCCAAAGTATGAGATGAAGGTTCACCATCCTTGCCTCCAAGGAGTACTCTGGTTGCTGGTGGCTTTGTGGTAAAGAATTGTACTGCCAACCCAAAGGTACACAATTTTAATCCACCAGCGGCTCAGTGTTGCAGAAAAATAGACCGTCTTCTCCTGTGCGATTAACTACCTCTGAAAACCCGCTGAAGGGTCAGCTATGAGTGGGCTCCAACTCCATGGTAAACAACAACAACATATGAATGAACCTTGAAAACATGCTAAGAGCAATAAATCAGACATGAAAGGAAATAAAATATATGAATCTATACTTAGGAAATATGAAGAATATTTCATTTTCATTCAAACTAAACCCATCCGAGCAAAGATTGTTGATGTTTCATATACCATCGAGTTGCCTGTGGCTCATCGCAACCCTATGTACAATATCTCTGAACTTTGCTCTATCTTGAGCCAATTTCATTGTCTCTGATACACCTACTCACATTATCCCAGTCACTGAGTCAATCTACCTCATCCAGGATCTTCTTCTCTTGCACTGTCCCTCCACTCTTCCAAGCATAATGTCCCTCTACAAGGACTGGTCTATCCTGGCAACATGACCAAAGCATGTCAAATGGAGATTCAAAATCCTTGCCTCTATGGAACAGCCCAGACAGACCTGTTTGTTCTCTTAGCAGTCCATGGTATAGTCAATGCTCTTCTCCAGCACCACAGCTCAAGGGTATGGTTGCCAACATCTAGGGAGCAAGGGAAATGGGGAGAGAAACAACTGGGATTAAATTTTGTATCTTATTTAATGGAATCAGCTTAAATATTATCATTCAACAAGTAAACAATATTTTTAAATTATAAATTAGGGGTTTTTTACATTTTCCATGCATTTTTTAAAGCATTTGTGTGTTTTATATTTTGAGCACATCCACATTTCAATGCCAGAGCCAACCACACTGGACAGCATAGGCCCATCTTAGAAGTAATTCAGAGCTCACCCTCAATTGGTTTCCTAAAGCTGTAAATTGGAGAGGGGAGAATACTCATCTTTCTCCAGAGGGGCAGCTGGTGGATATCAACAACTGGATAGGCCACTAGAGCTCATAGGTCCAATCAGTAGGTTAAAAAAACTAAGGGGCAGATTGGGTAAAAATATTTCAAGATAAGTGCAAATGATCTCGTTGCGCTAAAGGGCCAAGGGAGATGAGGAAAACATCTCGGATGAGGTGCAGTGTTATTGGTAAATATGCTCATGGCATCAAATTTCTTTTTTTTTTTTTCAATTTTAAGCAGTACTTTATATACAATGGGATGGGGGAGGGGAGAGAAACACATGCATAGTCCAAATACAATGTTGAAAACAGCATTTTTCATAACAAAACCCCCAACACTAAGTGTTAATAGCATGTACATGAATTCAAGAAGGACCACCCTTTTTTTTTTGTCTGCTGCACACAGTTTATTTAACAATATG